GGGCGACTTATTTTATATTGTTAATTTGTTTTATATTTTTAATGTATTATATTTTAATTTATGTTGTGAGCCGCCCCGAGGCTTCGGCGAATGGGGTGGCATAGAAATGTTTTAAATAAATAAATAAATAAATAAGTGAGAGGAGTGGGTGTGTGGCGAGGACCCCCCCTCCCCACTCGACCCCACTTGCCAAGGCTTGGCAGTGCCATGGGGGCACCTCGAGGAAGATCCCAATGGAGGCATGGAAGGGATCAGTGATAGCCTCTCCTCACCTTTAGTTTAGGTCTCTCCCCCCGCCATTCTGCCCTTCTGGTAAACTTTCAAGTGCTGGTGAAGCTCCTGCAGCATTCCCAGTGGCTGGTTTGGGGGCAAGGAGGGAGGGAGGGAGGGAGTGTGTGCTCCCAGGCACAAGCCAGCCTGGTGTCCCCCAACTTGGGGGCGCTGAACGTGAACATGGCTCCTTCTCTCTGTTATTGTGTTTTTCTTTTAAGACAAAAGATGTTAATGTATGAGTTGTTTTTTTCTAAACTAAAACCTCAGTATTCAGGTTTTATTGCAGTGTTGGCACTTTGTGATAAATAAGTGGGTTCTGGGTTGCAGTTTGGGCACTCGGTCTCTAAAAGGTTCACCATCACTGCTCTATAGGCTAGTGTTTCAAGGCAGGCATAGAACAATATTTCCTAGCTAGTTATTTTCAGGGGCCCCTAAAATACCTTAAGTAATAACCGTCTCCAAAGTTGGACCCACAATGAAACTTCTGCAAGAGGGTCCATCAAACTATCACTTCTGAACATCTTTTACTGTACCCCTGATGTTAATTTCCTTGATACCACTGTTTTGTTAACAGGTGACTGCCTTCCAAACTCCCAAATAGGAAACCTACTGAAACATTCACATACATCAATGTTAGCAGCTGCCACCAGGACCTCATCAGAAGATTTGTTGTATACTATCCAACCACTTCAAGACAAGTGAAAAGACAAGGCACTTCTCAGTATCATTTGCAGCATATAATTGAGGGTTTTCCCGTGGATCATAAGGGGATCTACAATATATTCTTGAGAATGATTCACAGAACACAGGCCATTGCTGGCATGTAGGAAACCACAGAACAAGAAACCCCTGTTTACTCTGGCAAATATATCTCACTAGTTTCCCGACAAGGCACAAAACTTTGTGATAGACCTAAAGGTTAACTGTGCCCGTTAATCAACATAAATAATACAGTGTGTGGGCTCAGTGGTATGATCCATCACATCCATGGCACTTATAGTATGGATGTGATGGTACAATATGGTGTACTTTATTCATCAAATGTCCATCACCAATGTACACTGGACTGTAAGGCAATGCTGCAGTGCTCACAAGTAAGACAGAAAGCATAGGAAGACTAAGAAGTCAGTAGTGATTTTACTTTCCCTGGACACAGAGTTACTCTTCCCAAGTACATTAAACCCTTAATATTTCTGGAAGTTGCCTCTGGAAACTTCCCTTGGAATTTATTTCATTCAAACAAGACTGCTGACAGTTTTAATACATCTTAGGTTCTTTCCTAAGGAACCTTCTTTGGTTACCACCCTTTCTTGGTTTGCTTGCATTTATAGCACTACCCATTCATTGAATCAGGGAATCATAGAATAGTAGAATTGAATTTGAAAGGGCCATGAAGGCCATCAGGTCCAATCCCCTGTTGTTGCAGGACACCAAGTTATACCATCTCACTCAGATGGCTGTCCAGTTTGTATCATGTGCCATTGTCAAAAATTAAGATGAAATACACATTAGACAAGAATTTTAAGGAAAGGGCAAGAAAGGGCAAACTAAGGAAAGGGCAAGAAGAAAACAAAAACGTGAAGCATCAACACCTTCTTAGGCAATCCTATGTTCTTTTATTTGTCTGTAAGTGTGCATGAGGTTGCTCTGAATTAGTGGGATTTACTTCTGGGCAGACAGATACAGGATGGCACCCTTAAGAGCATCCCAATATTTCTATTAACATTATCTTGCTGTATGCCTTAGCACAACCTGGTAGCTAGGAGTATTCTTATCTCCATATTGCAGGTAGCTGGGGCTGATAGACTGGCTTACCTACCTGTCCCAAGGTTGACCTGTTTCCCTACCCATCTTGTATACAAGCATTCACATGGATTAGGGCCAACATGGACACATTGTTTTGTGATGCCAGCATGATCATCCTATCCATCCATGGGGCCCTGGTGGGTCATAAAAGCCTCAGGCTTGTTTCTGTGTATCACTTGTCTTAAAACACCTTTGGCTTCAAAAATCCTTCAACATCTCAGTAATGTGCTTAGATGCTTCAAGAGCAACCACCACATCATGCCCCTTTTCACTTTAGATAATTGATAGCAATAATGTGTCTTTTGTGGCAGGTTAAAACTTTCACTTGGGCCTCATTTGCTCTGCTCTTGGTTTCAGTTCCAGCACACTATAATCCCTTTTGTTCCCTGGATAACCCATAAGAATGGATGGCAGCTTTGTGCCCAAGGTTATTCCTCCTCAAATTTCTTTTACAATAGCTCATTGGAGCTGAATGGCTGTAAACGAGGGCCATTCTAAGAAAACCCAGCTGTAAGTTAGCTTGTAGCTGGAATATAGAAGTGCAGATAGCTTTATGGGAATACATATGACAAGATAGCACAAATGGCATGTGGGGAAGTGAAGATGATAAAATTAGAAAGGTTTATTAATATTGTGGTTGGCATTATTCTTCCTGCTCTTTTTCCCTGGAATGGCACTAAGGATGCTTGCTCAGCAGAGTTCTTGAAAGAGTAAACTCTAAAGGATGGATGCATTTACTCCTTTCTTGGTCTTATTTCAGTTATGTGACTTTTCCATGGATGCAGCTTACGTCACGGGTCTTTTCCAGTTCAGATGTTGCATTCATTTCTTACATATGCTTAAATTTCATGTCTGGTCTTTGCATCATGCTGGTGACCCTTCTCCCTCATTTGTTAGCTATGATTTCTAAAAGAAAGGTCAGTATGAATTTTCTTGCTAAGGTACCATTTATAAAAATTCCCATGTACATTTTCACATTTTAATACACATAAAATATGCTTCAGTTGAACTGTTGACATTTTCTAGTGTATTATTTTTTTTCTTGGCACATACTGGGAGTTGCTGTGGTCCACTGAATATATAATCTGTGATGTAAAAAAATGTCAGAATACAGATTGAAGGTCGTGATAAACTGGCTGAAGTGGGTGTGAGTCATAATACTGTAATCTCTCTTCTTCTGGCAATTTGTAACCAAATACAGTGTTCTCATCTTTCTTAATACAAATTATTCTTGGCATAATTTTTTCAAGATATATCAAAACCTGGTATAAAGACAGGCCAGGTCTTTTGAGGAGAAGATGGTTATGGGAGCACCACTTGACTTTCCTTGAGGAGAACATTCCATATATGTGGGATTATAAGGGGGGAAAGGCTCATTCTTGACGTGCCACCTCCTGAACTTCTCTTGCAGGGTTCACTAAGAGAAGAGCCTCTGTGGATTCCCTAGGTTCATGAGTGGGGAAAGCCATGCTTTAGGTATTGGACCCCTGAACCCTGAAGGGTCAAAACTGGCACTTTGAATTTGGCCTGGATATGAGGCTGCTGGTTTTATCTAATTGCTCCAGGACAGTGGTGGCAGACCTAAGGCACGCGTACCGCAGTGGGCACACAGAGCCCTCTCTGTCAGCATGTGAGTCAAGTCGCCCCAGCATCGCCCCAGCAGCTGAGCATTGGATAACAGCATACACAGGGGCCATGTGCATGCTCAGAAAGGAGTAGCGGCGCCAGGCGATGATGTCACAAGCCACGACTCATTAACCATGACTTGCCCAAGCTTCTGCATGGCTGGTCAGTGCGCTGCCATATATATATATATATATATATATATATATATATATATATATATTTGCTTGGACTGGATGTGAGTTTTAATACATTTGTTTTTATTAACACAAGATTTTAGCTTTGAGTTTTCTTACGACAAATTAAAATTTAATATCTAAGATTTAGCAAAGAGATGTTTTAATTAAGAGACTGAGATTCTTTTAATGTTGTGCTGTCCCCCTGGCATATTATAATCTGCAGCATCATACTGAGTTGTTTTTTCTAAACTGAAACCCAGTATTCAGGTTTTATTGCAGTGTTGGCACTTTGCGATAAATAAGTGGGTTTTGGGTTGCCGTTTGGGCACTCGGTCTCTAAAACATTCACCATCACAGCTCTAGGACTTCATGTGTTATTTTGTAATGCTAAGAGACTTTACCAACTGTCTTCTATCTTCTTCACTTTCTTTTTAGAGTTTTCAGGGAATTTACAATATCCTCAAATGGGCCTTCATTTTTACCCCACAGTTTTGCTTAGGCCAGGGTTTAATAGTACTTGCCTATAACCAAATTAAGTTTGACCTGACAAGTAACTTTGGAAGCAATTCTTATGTGACTCCGTTTGAGCTGAATTTCTTAGACTGGATCTTCACAGAGATGGCCCTGCAGGGCACAATTCTCCTCCTGCTGCACGTTCTGTTGCATTGGGAGCTGCTCCAAAAACCAAGGTTTGTGATGATTTAGTCTGCTCTAATGAAGATTGAATATTTCTGCATAACAAATGTGTTTCCTTTTCCAAGTGTTTTTTTACTGGATCATAATTAGATTTAGCTCCAATAAACTCATGCATTTGGTTTGATTATTCTGTTTGTAAGTTCATGCAACCATTTAATGTTCAAAATGAGAATATAAAGTAGTTAAGGAATGAGAACTATGTTGTACAGTGTTATAGATCTTTAATGTTAATATTTCACCTGTGTGTAAAATCTCACTTTTTGCCCTCTTGGATAGGGTTGACAAAAGCCTCTTATAGAGGTTAAGTCAGGGAGACCCCAAGAGACTTTCAGGACATTTCTACACACCAAGAGAACATGAGGAAAGCGGACTTTTTATCTTTTGATCAGGGAAATGCCCTTAAGTTCCACTTCTCCAATACATGTTAAATATCTAATTAATATGAATGAAGGTAGAATGTGGACTGTGTACATTACTAGAGCTCCTAAGTAAGTGTGCTTTTGCTCTTCTTTACCAAATATGTAAAGATCACAGGACCCTTGAATCTTAAGTTATTTCTTCATGTTCCTGAGAAACCTGGGACAGGGATGGTGTAGTTTAGACAATAAACTCTCAAACATAAAAATGGTACACTAATCCATCCATACACAAAATTCTGTATTAACAAGGTTATGTTAGAATGTGTCTCAAGATGGTATGACCTCTGCCAAACACAGGATCTAAACCCAGATTTGGAGGAGTCAGTTTTTGTATATCCATTTCATATCAGACCAAGGCTATGTATACAGCAGGATGTCTCTGAAATTGATCAAGATTACAATCCCTTGAATGCGCTAGATCATGCTCTGGGAATCCATGGTGAATGCAACCATTCTGGAACCTTGATTTATTCTGGTTTCCAGGGTCTTTGGGCCAATAGGAGCTGTGCAAGAGTATGCCTGGAAGTCATCTAAGTAAAGTGCTTCTGTAAACAGATCTCTAGTGGATCAGATCAAGGATCCATCTAGTCCTGCCCACATAACTAACTGGATGTTTCTGGAAAGCCTACAGGAAGGTTTGTGGGCAACAGGCTTCCTTTGCTGCTACATGCATTAGGGCAGACATAGGAATAATCATGATGAACACCCAGAAATAAACGACCTTCATTTAGTCTATTCAGAAATAGACAACCTTCATTCTAAAGCTGTCTGAGTCCATGAAACATTCATTTTCCCTGCTGGTTTGGAGATCTCTGCCGAACTACCAGATGGGCAGAACTCAGGCCCTGGCCTGACTGGACACTCTCACCCATGTGGGGATTCACTATGGGATTCTTTCCACTCAGGGACTCCATCACCAGAACCTCAGTGACCCCTTCAGAAGACACACATGTAGAGCTGGAACAGAGAAGGCTTTTTGGAAGAAAAACCAGCAATGATATCCTTCTGCTGTACAATCTTAAGAAGAATTATTGGGGTTTCAGCAAGAGGAACTCTGCTGTGAAAGACATTAGCTTGGGGATACAGAGAGGAGAGGTTTTGCCTACTTCAAAATAAATACACATATTTGAACAGTATAGATACCTACTGAAACTGATCAAAGTCAGAAGTTTGTAATTTATGGGGGCAAAAACACAGAAGCATTTTTTATCACATGTTGACACTCAGCAGCTTGAAAGACTGTCCCTTCCAGGTTGCAAAGAGAGGCTGGGTGTAGGGATAGGGGAGGAATTCCATGGATGGGGAGGAATTCCATGAGTCCAGATTTCTAAGTGAAGTGCTGCCCTGCACAAATCAAGTGATATTGGCAAGCCTCTGTAGCACTTGGAATTCCTGCAGACAGAACAGATCCTTCTTAGCAGATCCTTCATGTTTTCATTTATTGGCAAGGAGGCCATTGGTTCTTCTGCATTGCTGAGACTTCCTCACATGTCCTTTAAAACACTGCAGCCACATGCCCTGTATTTACACTTGATGCTAAGCCATGGTTTATGTTAACCATATTTTGTTTTGCCAACAAGGTCCTGATCTCTGGTTTGTTTCTTCACCATCCATCAGCTTTCAGAATTATTTTGTCTTCAGGCTGCACTTGCTGGGTACCCCAATTGAGAGTGGATAGTAGCACAAATAAATCAGGAATAAGTCAGGGTTCTGGGTTCAAGACATTATTACAAGCTATGGTTGATAAAAGCCAGACTATGTAGGCCCACACAGACCTTAAGTTTGTGAATTGGACTTATGCTGGATTTTAGCCCAAAATGGGAAGAAGATTCAGAATAATTTATGCTGAAAGTGTTGTGAGATATGCTGTCCTGCCTAGATAATGGTTACATACATATCTCTATTTCTGTCAGTGCTTTGGTCTCCTGGGAGTGAACGGAGCAGGGAAAAGCACAACATTCAAGATGTTGACTGGAGGTGTGACTCCATCGGCAGGACGTGCTGTTATAAGGACTCCTCCTGGGTAAACAAACCAGAGGTTGATCAAAATAGTGTCGGTCAATGAAACTAACAATCAGAAGTGAAGAAACAGCATGCTTCCATACATTCAAATTGCAGGTTGCATAATTATTATCACAATGAATCAGTTGGTGAAAGAAAATTTGAAAAGCCAAATGATTCAAGCTGAACATTATAAAACCCTGGTAGTCCAGTTAATAGGCAGGATGGTTAGGTAGCACAGTGGAAATAGCATAGGAGGCAAGAGATCTCTGTACATAAATACTGACATAGTAAATGTCACAAGCAGTTAAATCAATATCACCTCCAAGGATGGATGAGCAATATGCAGACTTGAAGGTTACAGAATGTTTCCTTGATAACCCACCATTTCTTTGTGAACTAGAAGGGTGCATACTGAATAGAGAAGTGTTCTGCTTACACATCTTGCCTTCTGAGTCTTGGAGGCAACTAGCTCTTATTTATTTATTTATTTATTTATGAATGAATGAATGAATGAATGAATGAATGAATGAATGATCTGGCCACATTGCCTGCTAGCCAAACTTTCATGGGACTCGTACCCTTTCATAATCCTGATCTTTTCTGAATTTATCTTTGGTTTGGTAGTTTTCATGGACAGTATTGGCAGTTTCAAGATAAGTTGTCCAACAGCTGAGCCTGCTCCATCTGGCCACTTTTTTCACTGGTAACTTTTCCAAACATTGCCATGTAGCCCAGCATCCTTGAAAGCGAATTGGCTTGCTACAGCAGCCAACCTGTGTGGCAGAGCAATTCGACCTAGGAAATACAGCTCCACATCATCGGTAAATGGCTTTGGCAATTCTATAAGCTCATTAAAATATAGCTTACTCCACCTACTTGGACCAATCATTTCTTGGGCCTTTTAACCATATGAATACAGGGCCAGTCAGTGAAAGAAAGCTGTTCAATCAATTTAGCTGAATTGCCAGGGTAACTGTCTAATAAATTAAGCCTGGGATGGATAAAATGTTGACTGGAGATGTAACAGTAAATCTCTGGGTGATTTGCAGTAGATTAGAAAGGATTTCTGGGTCCCAATTCCCTAACAAGAGTTACAGCAAAAGGTTGGTCTGAATTGTATTATTAAAGTAAAGAAAACTTGGTGTGATACCAGGACTGGATTCTTGTGCAGAATGTGTACTCCATTCAATTTGGGTACCAAACACATTCCTGGACTCAGAATTCTTAATTTTTTGTCTTTTACTCTAATAGATGGATCCTAGAACTCTATTGAAAAGGTTGTGGAAGTCTGCCCACCCCAAGTGAAGAGGTTTCTATTGATTTCTGAAAACTCAGAGAATGATCCAGAAAAAAGTTTCTCTCTTAGAAGCTATTCTCTCCAAATCTCACAATTGCCCTTTCACCTTTTGGAGAGAATATTGGCAAAATATAGCATGCATGCATTGTTCTTCCCTCTGCCCTAAGTGCTATTCTCCTGTCAAGAGCACTGGAGCGGGGATGTTCCTCTGGGAGAAATCCTTTCTAACCTTTGTTGTGTGAATGTCTGCATGTCCTCCGAATAATCATGTGGAACTGGTGGCATGCTGTATAGTTTCTGTGTAGCAAGGAAATGCTGTGAATACCTTACACCAGGCATGGAACTTCAAGCAGGGGGAGGCAGATGCAGTCTATGGGGGCTCCACATCTGCCTGCAACTGCATTACTGGACACCCCCCCCCCGTCATCTTCCAGCAGATAAAAGTTGTTCTCTTATCAGTGGATTATCAGAGATAAGAGCTTTTTCTTATGAGGGAGAAGGGACAAGGCCTGGGGAGAAGGCTGATGAGTGATATAATCCCCACTTACTTCTAAGTAGATATTCTTGCCCTGGTGACTTGCGAATGGTCATGGTGTTTATACTTAGTGACCATGAAGGGGCCAGGTATATTGGATGCAGTTTGAAAGTGGTGCCAAGTGGATCAGTCCTGCTTACTTTGGGTAGATATGCAGAGGCATGTTCTGCTTACCTCTGGGTAGGTTTGAAATTAATGAGGATCCCATTTTGCCCCCCTCCTTCCATGGAGACCTTTCCCAGTTTTGGAATTTGGTTCTTGGACTTAAAAAATTTCCCACCCCTGCCTTAGAGATGCTGGTTATTGTTTTGAAACTGGGTTTTGAAATGGCCAGCATCCAGGGCTGGTTATTAATAGCAGTTTCAAAATCCTTACACAGTGGTTGTATTCAGATCCTGTCATGTTGTACTATGCAACAAAGTACATGAATAGTGGCTTATTGACCTAAGCTCATCCAGGGGTTATAACTAACAATGATTACCATAGTGTGTTACTGAAAGCTTTTCTGAGACATTTGCATCATGCCTGCTTTGATTTGAGAGCAGTCTATCTTTCCCTTAAATAATGTATTGTACAGTTGAGGAAGTCTGCTGTGGAATTCTGAGGAGCTGTCAGCAATGCATTCAAACATCGGTGCTGCAGTACACAGGCAGAGAGTCACAAAAGAGGTTAAAAGGGCATCTCTTTCCAAGAGACAGAGATGCCTTTTGGTACTGGCAACATGAAGTCACTCATATGAAGTTATTCCATTGCTGTACCTGTGATCCTTTGGAGAGTGGACTAGATTTGAACATTGAGCTCAAACCAAATCTTTTTAGAAGCTAAGGGTTTTCTGACTTTCAATTCACTTTGTTAGGTCAGAAAGGTAAGACAGCAGAACCAAAAATAATGCAGGTGCGGAAGCAAGTATGGAAGCATATTGCTTTTGTGTCACTCTGTTGAAGTCTAAGTAATCAATGGACACTGGAGGTCTTAAAGATGAAGGGTGGGCAGTCATGCAAGCCCCAGGCACAGCATTCCAGACACAATCATGCCTCTGCATCTGAACAATATCTTTAAGCATGTTTGGCTGAACATGGTTAAAACCTTGGTGCAACTGAGAATGCATGTTCATTCTGTTAAATGGCACTGCTTTTAAAAGAATCAGAATTAAATAAAAGGAGCATCTAAAAAGACATGCTGCCAATGGGGAGTCTGATCTGTCAATGTTAGCTGTATACTGTTATGGGGAATTTCATAGTACTTTTGCAACTGTGAGTGTTTCTTTGATAATCAAATTCCAGGAAGCATATTGCTGGAGATGGAACAGATGTGAGCATGCCTGGGCACTTTAGGTGCCATACTGAAGCCAGAATTTAGAAGCTGAAAAACAGCATGAAAGTTTGTTGAGTCATGGAAATGCTTCTGTTCTTCTAATCTGCCATGCAGTACAAGCTGCTCTCTCGGGGATTTTGCGTGAGCTCAGAAGGTTCTGTTATATCAGGAATGTCAGTTGGAAGTTTAAGAAAATTTTTGTGGAACTTGAAATGGTGAGGCTCCTATGTTTTTAAAGTTGCAAAACAAGCACATTCTGCTATGTTGGACAGAGATGGCTTAAATCTCATTGACCACAATAAATGCAGAAGCTTACATTCATTGCAGGAGATAGGATTGTACTCCTGATAGCCCATCAGTGTAATTCCATTGGACTTAGCTGTCAGATAGTTCTTTTTAATGTTTTCTGAGTCACTAGGAAACATTTGAAACAGGGCAGAAACCAGACCTTTCCCTCTCCTGGCAAAAAGTGTTTTCTTGAAACTGTGGTTTTAAATTGAGTGAGCAACACAGCTGTGGGCTCTGTAACCTTAAAGCATTTGGGGGTGCAACACATTAGGTCTTATTTTCAGGTAGGTCTTATTTTTTTAATGTACAAAATGTACATTTAATGTACACCCTTCTGCTTGCACTTTTCTGCTGTGCACCCTTCTGCTCTACACTTTTTTTCTGCTGTGCACGCTTCTGCTGTGCATGCCTCTGCTCTTGCACGCCTCTGCTCTGCACTCCAATTGCTGCCAAAAGCTGCATACACCGATCCTCTCCAGTGCCTGCTACTGGTACTGTCACAGGCAGCAGAGGAAGCAGAGCGGCATGAGCCAATGCTTCCTCTACAGTGCCGGCTCCTTTGACAGGCAGAATGCATTTGCTATCACTCTGCCCTTCACAGGAGCCAGGACTATAGAGGAAGTATCGGCTTAAGCTGCTCTGCATCCTCCTGCTGCGCCCTCTGCACCCCGCTGGCACTCTGCAAGTAAGCAAAAAAAGTAAGACCTATTAGCAATAATTTTTGGTAATAGGTCCTACTTTCGGGGAAGGGCTTATATTATAGGACTTACCCCGAAATAAGACTAGGTCCTATTTTCGGGGAAACATGGTACCACCCTCACAGGCTTGGGGAAAGAGGGAAAGAAAAAAGCAAAGGGAGTCCAATTTCATGGTAACTCTGGTTGTTGGGCTGTGAAGTCATCTCTGGTCCCTCTATTCGTAAGGTCATATGTTTGCATGTGTTCCTACAATGCAGACTTTTCTAACTGGAGTTTGATAGATAACTTGGAATAGAATTTATAAACTTCCAAAGTGAACAGAATTACCTCATTGTGAGAAATGAAATGTTACTGTTACTAAGTGTTAAGGGTGAAAAACAGGACTAGGACAGCATCATTGAAGTCTCTTAAGGCAAAAAAAAAAAAAAAAAGCCTGAGAATCAAAACATGTAAATGGTTGTTCTAAGAGCAATAATGTTTCTTATATAAAAAGTTCCAAAAAATACCAGAAGGGGTAAAATTGGGGGACAGTGGTAAAACTGTCACCTTCAGTAGAGGAGAGCAGACAATGGATTACTTTACAACTGGCGATAATGAGCCTGGAGAAAGGCCTGTTCTCATTGTCTCATCCTCCCCACAAGGTTTAAGAAACATTTTGGCGTCAAGAAGAATTCTCAAGGCCACTTCGGCCTGTTGACCTCTTAGAAGGTACTGAGCAAGCGTAATAAGTTTATGAATAGTAAATGACACACCTCTCATAGGTAATAGGCTCATTAGCATGAATATGGGATGTATGAGCAGGAGGGGGGAACGTATTAAGGAGTAGTATGATATAGGCGGATGGGGAAGATTGTGACTTCTTAGTAACCAGCCAATGGCAAAGCGGG